ATCAGGATCTGGAACAACTGAAACATCTGCTAAAGGGTCTCAAACACCTGAATCATCATCTGAAGGACCTGCAACAAGCAGGCCATCTGAGGGAGGGACAGGAACCACTGGCCCAACAGGTGGAATGTCAGGAACCACTGGTGTGGCACCTGGGGAATTTGCAACAACTGGATCACCTGCTCAGGGTTCTGGGACAACAGAATCACCATCTAAAGGAACTGGAACAACCAGAACCCCAGCCGAAGGGAAAGGAACAACTGGTCCTACAGCTGAAATGCCAGGATCCACTGGTGTAACACCTGGAGGATCAGCGACAACAGGAACATCAGAATCTGGAACAACTGGATCACCTGTTAAAGGTTCTACAACAACTGAATCACCTTCTAAAGGGATTGGGACAACCAGAACCCCAGCAGAAGGGAAAGGAACCACGGTCTCAATGGGTCACATGTCAGGAACTACTGGTGTAACATCTGAAGGATCAGGGACAACTGGAACATCTTTCAGAGGTTCAGGTACAACTGAATCATCATCTGAAAGACCAGGGACAACCAGGTCATCCGCTGGAGGGACAGGGACAACTGGCCCAACAAGTGGTATGTCAGGAACCACAACTGTAGCACCTGTAGGATCAGGGACAACAGGAACATCTTTCAGAGGTTCAGGAACAACTCAATCACCATCTGAAGGAACTGGGACAACTAGAACCCTAGCAGAAGAGAAAGGAACAACTGGTCAAACAGCTGAAATGCCAGGATCCACTGGTGTAACACCCAGAGGTTCAGGGACAACTGTAAGATCAGAATCTGGAGCAACTGGATCAGCTGCTACAGGTTCAGGAACAAGTGAATCATCATCTGAAAAAACTACAACAACCAGACTATCAGCTGAAGGGACAGGAACAACTGTCTCAACAGGTGGCATGTCAGGATCCACTGGTGTAACACCCGCTGGATCAGGGACAACTGGATCATCAGCTAAAGGTTCAGGCACAATTGAATCCTCCTCTGAAAGAACAGGGACAACCGGATCATCCACTGGAGGGACAGGAACCACTAGTCCAACCGGTGAAATGTCAGGAACCACTGTTGTGCCACCTATGGAATCAGCGACAACTGGATCATCTGTTAAGGGTTCTGGAACAACTGAATCACCATCTGAAGGAACTGGGACAACCAGAACCCTAGCAGAAGGGAAAGGAACAACTGGTCCAACAGCTGAAATGCCAGGATCCACTGGTGTAACCCCCCCAGGTTCAGGGACAACTGTAGGATCAGAATCTGGAGCCACTGGATCATCTGTTAAAGGTTCAGGAACAACTGAATCATCATCTGAAAAAACTAAAACAACCAGACCATCAGCTGAAGGATCAGGGACAACTGGATTTGTAGCTGGTACCACTAGATCTACTCAAGGAAGATCTGGATCATCAACTGAAGTGGGAAGAACAACGATGATGCCAGGAAGTGATATTACCACATCTGGAGGTAAATCAATTTAGTCAAAAATAGACCTAAGAGTTTGGGTAATATGAGTTTTGGTCCAATAATTTGGAACTATACCTATAAATTTATCAGAATTAGACTATTTACTACTTGAATTTTTGAATAATATAGTAAATTTATAAAACATTATTGTTTTAAATTGATATTTCACACTTCTTAATAATTTGATGTTTCCATCCCCACTACTTTTTTATTGACCAGGTGCATTCAGAGAGTCAGTAGGAGCTACCACCCAGCCAAGCAGAGGAAGCACAGCTGGAGCAGGAGCCTCTGGGGCCACCTCTGCTGGGAACCAAGCAGGCAAGGCTCACCTGGGTGATCCAGCACACACATGCCTGACACCCAAATTGTGATGATGAGCTTAAGTTAATTACTAAAGCCTGAATTTTGGGAATAAAATTAAATTATATTCTAGCTTTACTATTAACATTTAAAATTGAAATTTAGTTAAATGGATGTAAGTTTATTATTTTTACTAAAATGAATCATGTAAAGATAATAATCAATTGCCCCTTTACCCAGGCACAACTGAAGAATCATATGGAGAAACCACTGAAGCAGGCGAAAGCACAACCAGATTAACCACACCTGGTAACTCAGAAGAGTGGGAAGGGATGCTATTGGCTCAGGTTGTGGCTCAACATAAGGTTTTCTGACACATCTAATCATGAATATTAGTGTATTATAAATATAAAAATTAGAAAATCAGATCCAAGTTATCCAGTATTTAGAGCCTTATCTTTTAACTAGAGGCCTAGTGTATGCATCTGTGCATGAGTGGGATCCCTCTGGATGGCCTTAAGGGATTGGCCTGAAACCCGCAGTCCAATGCTGCCTGCAGCTCCTACCTGCCGCCCCCACTCATCCCAGCCCCACTGTGCCTGCCGCGGGCTTGCGCCCAATCAGTCCCGATCAGAAGAGGGTCGCACTGCTGCAACAGTACTTGCCAACCATGAGCCCTGCATCTGGTGCCCTCCCAAGGGGAGTGGCCTGCGGGATCAGGCTGAAACCAGCTCTCTGACATCACCCGAGGGGTCCTGGATTGCTAGAGGGTGCAGGCCAGGCTGAAGAACCCCACCAGTGCATGACTGGGCTGGGGAAGGACTATGGGAGGGCTGCAGGGCATGTCCAGCCCATCTCTCTCAGTCCTGATAGGCTGGATCCCAGCAGCAAGCTAACCTACTGGTCGGAGCATATGCCCCCTGGTGGACAGGGCAGGTCATAGCGACTGGTCGACCGTCTGCCCCTTGGTGGTCAGTGCACATCATAGTGAGCGGTAGAGCAGCCTTAGCATATCATTAGCATATTATACTTTGATTGGTTCGGTTGTTCTTCCATTTGGTCTATTTGCATATTACCCTTTTATTATATAGGATAGGTGCTTTCTCACCAGTACTGGAACTACAACACTCGAGCTCAAAGTAGTTACCGTGACAATGTCCAGGTTATATCCCCCCAAAATAAAAACACTGCTTGTGATTTTCCATTTTTAGTCTCAGGTTCCATAAGAAGCACCTCTGGCTCAACAATTCCATCAGAAAGTTCCACTGTAGGTAAGTAAACAGGGAATGCTGGATGTATGCTTTTTGTTTTCATGTTCTTTGGCTAGTTTTAAATGATAAAATAATTAATAAATTAATAAAAATACCAATTACATAATTAAAATCTCTTTAAATATATTATTTTGCTTAACTATTTGAATAAGGACAATTATGTCATTTTACTCATGAGGAACTTAAAAAAAAAGCCATTACCTAGGTTGGTCCAGGTTCCTCAGCCAATCAGCGTGGAGCCCATGTTTTTATCCATTGCTTCCTGACTCCAGAGACTGATCTTCACCACCTGTCATCCTCTAAGACAAATAAACAATGATCTTTAAAGACCCATTAAGAAAAGCTTGCTTCTTACATGTACAAAACTTAAATTTTCCCCCTTTCTAACTATAATAACTGAAGCAACAGGTTTACAATTTTTTATACAAGAAAAATTGTGGCATTTGTTCCAAAACAGCAAGATTTGAGTCATTTTACTTGACAAAACTATAATTCTATTCTTTTATAAGTGAAAAGCTCATCACTTCCTTTCTTTTTTCAGTTATTCCAACCTGACATAAAATTTACAAATACTTATAGGACAATTTTTTTCATAACAATACATGGACTAAATTATTTATTCAAGGCTAGAGTACATTATTATTTAAGTTTCTGGACAAGTAATGTATCGTAGTACTTGAGAAAGACATGTCTCACTTTGTAAGTTATCTACTAGAACCTAAGATTTAGTGACTAAATTGTCTATTATTTAAGGAATAGATTGCTAATAATTTTTTTCTGGTAAAGATTTATGCAACATCTATTCTAACTACTGTTAAAAACGCCACTGGTGTAAATTTATTTTATAAACTAGCCACCAGGAAATAATTTATTCAAAAATTTGATTCAGACTAAATTCATAATTATTCTTTACTCATTCAATGATTATATAAATGTAAATGAATTCACATGCTTATATTATTTATTGAGCACCAAGAGTATATTATAAATTAGTACCATGGCTACTAAGACATGTAACTATTAGGGCACAGTATGTATTTTATCTTTTGTACTGTTTGTAAATATTTTACTTGGGAAAAAGACAATGGTTCTGTTTTCAGTTTGATAATTTATAACTTATAAATGATTTTTTACAAGAACACTTTACAGTTTTTTCCCCCAAGAGATCCCTCATCTTGACTTGAATTTTTAGGTAAACCCCTATGGAAATAACACTCCAGTTTTTTTAATAAAAAATTACATATAATGGCTGTTGAAGCACTGAAGTGAATTTTTAAAATGCAATTCAATAAGTATATTTTTAAATTGAAACATGAATTTAATCTTTCCTTTTTTAGGCCCAGAGAACAAAGTTCTACCAGAACTCATTGTAGGTAAGTTGAAATTAAAATGACAAAAAACTATTTCTTCACAATGTAGTTTGAAATATTTCTATCTTTTCCATTTGAGCACTGAAAAGTAACTGAGGGACTGTGATATTCTTTCTAAACTATAATTTAATATAAATTAATCTTTATGAATTGAGATAAATAAAAATGTACATTTATATACATATATATTGTGTTTTTAATTTTTAGTGCCACCAGGACAGGCTAAAGTAACAGGTAAGAAAATATAACTCTCTCTCTCTATATATATGAAATTGTGTTACAGTAACTAGAATAGAAAATAAGATAGCAGAAGTCAATTTATCAGATTAATAAAACATAAGCTTCAAATTAGAGTTTGGTAGCATAGAGCTTTTGTTTTTCCTGTTCTTATGCCTTCTGAAATCATAACAAAGGGGTATTAAATTCCTTACATAATATTTAAATTTTACATTGGTTGTGTGTAAACATACAAAATCAAGTAAATAAAGATAACTCTAGAAATATCCTCCTCATTAAAAAAGAAAGTACCATACTTCTCAGTATATTAGCATTGTCACCTACCATTTTCATGAAAATTTTTAGCTTTTATGGCTTCCTGGTGTCTCTTTTAAGATTTAAGTTTTAAAAGATAAGCAAAAAAAGAAGGTTGTTCTGTATAACATTTCACTTTTCTAAAAATTGTCCCCTTCTGCAGCCCGTTAGCATTTACATTCAGATACAAGCTCCATGAAGATCGTTATTTTTGTCTTCCTTTGTTCACTGATATAAAACCCCCTTTTGGTCCTTATGCGATGAGGTGTTTGGTTTCCACACTTGTCCATCTGATCCACTGAATTCTGCCTTTGTTGAGTGGGCACCATGGGACATGCATCACTCAGTGTGCCATGCAGTGAGCTAAGAGATCTCTTAAAACAGCTATTTCCAACACAGGTGGAGGTGAAATATAAGAAAACCATTTCTATGGACACAATGGAAATTAAGCGGTTTATCGTCTTGCTGTGATAATATAATACAAAATACCTCTTCCCAACATCCCAGACACCCAGAATGTTCTTGTCTATTTTCTCCCTCAGAGGCCACGACTACCAGAGGAGGTGCGGGCATCACTGGAAATGGATTCAGAACAGGTGAGAGGAAGCATCACATGCCTTCTGCTAACCACTAATTATGATGCTCATAGGAGAGTCAAGAGAGAGAAAGACTTTCTGGAGAGCTGTTCATTTCCTTTATTAATACTGTATTTTGGGCCAACCGATCCTTTTTAAGTTTTAAAATTTTGTCCTGCAATGCTGCTAATAACAGAGTTCATAGTTATAGCTGTAATTCTTGAACATGGCATGATTGTCCAAATAGTTCTCAGTAATTTACTGATGTTATAAGACTTGAAGAGAAAAGTAAGAAAATTTTCTATTCCTGAGAAGTAAAGAAGAGCTGCATAAACCCAGGAAACATGTCTGCCCCATATAGATGTTGGCCTTTCACACAAAAAAACAATGAACAGCACAATATTTTCTCAGTAGCTGTAATTTTCAGAACATTCATATCTTCTTCCGTTTCCATCCCCCAGCAGGTACCACTGTATCATCAGAAAGTGAAGTCACTGGGAAGAAAACAGGTGAGTGTGGGAGAAACCCAACCAGTTTACCAAAATAGAATGTTGCCAGGAGGTTGCCTCAGGTTGAGAACATTGTTCCTCTGAAAGTCTTGGGAAAATACATACAGCTCACCGTCAAAGAAGAGGTAGACAGTGAGCCAGTTAGATTAAATGAAAATATAGTTAGGTTCTTTTTAGGTGCATGTTTTTAAAAAAATAAAACATGGTGACTACAGTTGAGTTGGTTTTGTGTTTTAGGCACCACTGGGGTAACTCCTGGCACAACTGTTGCCCCAGGCAGTTCCAAAACAGGTGAGTCTACAATTTGAAATAGAATCTTCCCCACCTCTTCCCACAAATTAGATTTCCCCTCTGAGACTATTCATTGGAAGGGGTACCGTCGTATCTTCTCCATGATCCTGAAATATTCTTTAGTCACTTCTTTCCTCATTCTCTCCCTCAGAGGCCACAACTTTCCTTGGGGAAAGTGAAACAACTACAGTTGGAGTAGAGACAGGTGAGTGCTCTAAGCTAATACCTGCATTTCATGATAACATCTTAGAATAGTCTTCTGAAAATATATCTACACTATTTATATATGTTATGTCAAGCAATTTCAGACAAAAAGATAAGACAGTCCTTACATTGTTTATTGTTTACAGCTAGGACTTTCCTTGGGGAATACCTACATTTCATAATAACTACTTTAAGAAATCTGCTGAAAATATATCTATACTATTTATGTATGTTATATTGAGTAATTTCTGAATTTGAACAAAGGCAAGCCAATCTTTATAGTGACCCCTTATTTCCCAGGCTCTCAAGGGCCTTTACTAGACCATCATGAAGTCGAACAAGTGATGGATAAATAGTTAAGTAGAGATTGAGTTTTCAGTTCCCCTCCGATAAAGAGATGTGACAGTTGAGGACTCAGTGAAATTGTTATAGAAAGAAATGTTACATGGGAGACCTATGGATGCCTTCTTGGCACTAAAGCTCACAGATATATAGTTTGCTGCTACATGGGGACTTTAGATTCCTATTTAAATCATGTAGTACACACACAATTGAGTTAAGAACCATTGACCCCTTCTTGTAGGTACTACTGGTATAGCCTCTGGAGAAACCCCAGGACCTGGAAGTTACATCACAGGTAAGTCTGCAAATACAAGTACAAACTGTTCATCAGCACCTTGGATAACATTCTGACAATAGCACAGTGTGGACTTTCCCACCACCTAGCCTTTACTCCTTTCCTTCTTTCCTCTGTCAAGGGCCACAGCTTCCATGGGAAGAAGTAGGACCACACAGGGAGAATTTTTAGAAGCTGAACTTGTTAGTTGGAGGTGTTTTTGTTGTTGGTGGTGGTGGTTTTTAAATCAAATCCCTGTTTATGTGGCTGTAGGGAACATAATGAGTGGGCAGCTGAGCTGAGGAAATGGGTTTGCTTTCCCTCTGGGAACATAGCATGCTAGAGTCACAAATCTGGGTCACCCAGGAATTCCATTGCCTCGCATGTTATTATTTCTAGAGGTCTAGGCTTCCAGAGCTGTTTGTTGTGTGGCAGGGATGAGGCCAATCTTCAGACCATCCCCTGCCTGCCAAGGCTGCAATACTTGTATGTGGTTTGACATTTTCCCGTAAAACTTACTAAGGCCTCTCTCATTTCCCTAGTTATCATGTTTAGTGTTTACTGCTGGACTCCAGCTGCTCAAATGTAAGGCACATTAGGATAGGGATCTTAGAATATTCTACTCACCAATACATCCAAAGGCCTAAAACAACATTGCACAGTGGAATGAGGAAACATGCACTTGTGTTGAAGCTTCACTCTACTTGCTTTAATAGGTAGCACCACGCTTTCACCTGGAGCCAGCAGCAGCTCACAGAAAACCAAACCAGGTAGGATACACTAAATAAATTTTCTTAGGAGAGTAGTAGAGTCACAGATTTCTCTTAAACATCAGAATATCAAAATACCTCAAGTAATTGATGAGTAACATTTAGAAAGTTATATTGATTACATGCCTTTCTTCTCCTTTAGGCACCTCTGTCACACCAGGGAGCCCAGGGGCTGGAAGTGAAACAGGTGAGGCAACACAAGGTCTGTTTTCACTTTCAGTGAGAGCTGGGCAAAAGAAACTCCAGTAGCAACCGTGATAAATAAGTATGTCAGCAAAGGAAATCGTGGAAAGTTATAGATGGTTCATTTCATTCAGAAACAGAGGCCCCAGGAAACATCTCTTGGTCATTCCAGGATACAAAACTACCCAGTACTGAAGAGGGAGTTGATGCTGTGAGGATGCCTTTATCTTTCTCATTTTTAGATGCTACACAGGGGTTCTCTAGGACAACCACTAAGTCTAAATATATATAAAAAACTTCACTAGGGCTCCTTGGATCATATATTCTAACATTAACACAATGTGTACTTTCCTACCACCTAGTCTTACTCCTTCCCTTCTTTTCTCTATCAGAGGCCATGACTTCCACAAAAGGAAGTGGGACCACACAAGCAGGACTTGTAGGAGGTGAGCTTTTACATTATGAGGTTTGGGGCTTTAAAAAAATCCTATCTCTGTTTATGTGGCAGCAGTGAAGACATGAGAGGGAAGGTGGGCTGAAGAAATAGGCCTGCATTCCCTATGGGAACAGAGCATGCCAGAGTCACAAACCTGGGTCTACCTTGGAAATATCTGGTGTCACATGTCTTCCTCTGACTTTGCACACACCCTGGGTTTCAGAGCTCCTGGTTGGATGGCAGGGAAGACCTACCTATGGGCCAGCCCCTGCCTGCCTGGACCCAATTCTTAAATATGGTTTGCCATTTTCCCATAGCACCTATTAACATGCATCAAATTGACTTATTTATCATGTTTACTGTTCACTGCTAGCCTCCAGCTGTTAGAATATAAGCCACATAGGGAAGAAACTTTGAATATTGTGTTCACTGATACAATCAAAATCCTAAAACAAAATTGCTCAGAAGATTTGCTTAATAAATATCAGTAGGAGGTTAAACAGATAGTTATTTTGAAGCTTCACTCTACTTGCATTAATAGGTAGCACCACACTTGTACCTGAGCCAACAGCAAGCAGTTCACAGAATTCTGAGCCATGTAGGGTCTCTAAATAAATGCACCATATGAGAGTATCAGAGTCATAGAGTTATACTTTGAATCTCAGAATATCAAAACATCTCAAGTAATTGATGAGTAACATTTAGAAAGTTGAACCCATTATCTGCCTCTTTTCTCCTTTAGGCACCTCTGCCACACCAGGGAGCCCAGAGACTGGAAGTGAAACAGGTGAGGGTGACATAGGTCTCCTTTCACTTTCACTGGGATGTGTGGAAAGGGAAACTCCAGTAGAAACAATGATTAGTAGGTTGTTCAGGATAGAAAGTTGTGGTGGGTTACTGATGGCTTGTTATTTCTGAAATAGAAGTCTCAGGCATGGCCGTCTAGGAGTTCAAGGCCATGGAGTTAATGGAGTTTGAAGGAGAGAGCGAATGCTGTGTTGATGCCTTTATATTTCTCATATTTAGGTGCTACACAGGGACTCACTAGGACAACCAGTGTATCTGAAGGTTCCAACACAGGTGGGTTAACAAGAAGTCTCCATATATAAACTCATAATGTAGTTAGTAGACGTGCTCTGATAAAAAAAAAAATCACATAATTCTCTTCTCATATCTCAAATCCTTTATCATTTTCTTCCTTCAGAGGCCACAACGTTAACAGAAAGCAGTGGCACTTCTGGAACTGGATTCAGAACTGGTGAGAAAGAGTTCCGGCAGTTGGGGTTTACTATTAATGGTGACTCTTCTTAGTCTGGCTGCTGGGAGGGGTGCTTTCCTGCAGAGTGGTTTGCACATGTCTCAATACTGGCTTCTAGTCTCACGTGTATAACTTTGTACAGAAGGGCTGGAGGTAAAATCGGTATGGGAGGTTTACCTTGTGATGGCATCCACATCACTAAGCAAATATTTATGAAGGGAATCATCCTGGATGAGGCCCAGAAATCAGGATTTTAAAAAGATTCCCAGGTGATTCTAATGTGCAGCCAAGATTGAGAACCACTGCATTAAGGGATCTTTGAATATTCTGCTTACTGATATATCCAAAAGCCAGAACAATATTGGACAAAAGACTTGCTTAAAAAATGTCAGTGGAATGATGAAACACATGCTTATGTTGAAGCTTCACTCTACTTGCATTGATAGGTACCACCACGCTTTCACCTGGAGCCAGCAGCAGTTCGCAGAAAACCAAGCCAGGTAGGTAGGATAGACCAAATAAATTCATCATATGAGAGTATTAGGACCACAGAATTCCAATTTAAACATCAGAATATCAAAATACCTGAAATAATTGATAAATAACATTTAAAAACATAACCCCATCATCAATCTTTTCCCTCCTTTAGGCACCACTGTCACACCTGGAAGTTCGGGGACTGGAAGTGAACCAGGTGAGGTGTCTTAAGATTTCCTTCCATTAATGGGGGGATAAGGACACATATGTAATACCTTAATCAATACAGAAATTTAAAAAAAAAGATTTCCTTCCACATTCAGTGGGATCTAAGGAAAAGGGAACTCCAGTAGGAACAATAATTAGAAACTCGGTCAAAGGAGGAAGTTATGGAAAGTCATTGATGGCTCATTTCTTTCAGAATTAGAGGTCTCAGGTAAGGTCTTCTAGAAGTTCAAGGCCACCTACCTGCTTCAGGATGAGGGGTATCTAATACTGTGTTGAAGTCTTTATCTTTCTAATTTTTAGATGCTACATGGGAATTCTCTAGGATAAGCCTTATATTCTTTCTTGTTTCAGGTACTACTGGTATAGTCTCTGGAAAAACTCCAGAACCTGGACCTTACACCACAGGTTAGTCTGGAACTACAAGTAAAAGCTGGACATTAGCTCCTTGGATGATATATTTTGAGTAGCACAGTGTGGACTTTTCCACCAACTAGTCTTTACTCCTTTCTTTTCTTTATCAGAGGCCACAACTTCCATGGGAGGAAGTGGGACCACCCAAGCAGGACTTCTGGAAGGTGATCTTTTTAATGCTAATTAATCTCTGTGGGGCTAGAATGAACACATGGGGGGGGGGGCAGGTGCACTGAGGAAATCTGCCTTCATTTGTTTGGGAACACAATATGCCAGATTCAAACACCATAGTTGATCTTGGAATTCCATGGCCTCACATATATCCATCTGGATTTTCAGAGGCCCAAGCTTGCAATCTAGTTGTTGGATGATAGGGATGAGGCCCACCTGTGGACCAGTCCCTGCCTACAAAGGCCCCAGTACTCATATTTGGATTGCAATTTTTCCATAGCACTTAATTGACATCTTTCCCATTGACCATTTCATTGTGATTATTCTTTACTGCTATCCTTCAATTGATAGAATATAAGGCACATTAGGAGAGGGATCTTTGATTATAGTGCTCACGGTTACATTCAAATGCCTTACACAATATTGCACAGAAGACTTAATAAGTATCAATGGAACATGAAACTTAATCTTATGTTAAAGCTTCACTCTACTTGTGTTAATAGGTACCACAACACTTTCACCTGGAGCCAGCAGCAGTTCACAGACAACCAAGTCAGGTAGAGTCACTAAGTAAATTCACCATAGGAGAGTATTAGAGTCACACATTTCTACTTTAAACCTTGGAATGTAAAAAACCCTCAGGTAATTGATAACTAACGTTTACAAAGATGAAAACACCATGTGTCCTTTTTTTCCTTTTAGGCACCTCTGTCACACCAGGGAGTCCAGGGACTGGAAGTGAAACAGGTGAGGGTGACATAAGACCTCCTTTCTCTTTCCCCGGCATCAATAAAAAAGGAAACTCCAGTAGCAACAATGATCCACAGGTGGGGCAGGGAAGGACATTGTGGAAAGTTATGGACAGTTAGTTAAGTTCCCTCTGAAACAGAGATCCTAAGAAAAGCTCTTCTGGTCATTCAAGGACACACAGCTGCTTCAGTACTGAAGAGGGAGCTAATGCTCCCCTGATGCCTTTATCTTTCTCATCTTTAGGTGCTACACAGGAATTCCCCAGGACAACCATTATACCTGGTAGTTCCCACACAGGTAGGTTAACAAGAAGAAATCTCCATATTTGAAACCATAATATAGATATTAGGTCTGCTCTGATAAAATATCAAATAACCCTTTTCCTAATATTCCAATTCTTCTGACCTCACCCTGCACTAATTTCTTCCATCAGAGGCCACAATGGTAACAGAAAGCAGTGGCACTTCTGGAAGTGGATTCAGAGGTGGTGAGTAAGAGCTCCTGCAGCTGGGAGTTTAATATTAACTATGACTATTGTTACCCTGGCCTGCTGGGAGGTGTGCTTTCCTGCAGAGTGGATCACACATGCTGCCAGTTCTTAGATGTAACATATCTTGGAAAAGCTCTCTACACTGGCTTCTAGTCATTCCAGTTGTAACATTCTAATGTTGGGCTGGTGTTAGAATCAATATGAGAAGTTTATCCTGTGACGGCATACACATCACGAAGATGTTAGGAGAAGCTGAGAAATATTATGTATCTGGGAAGGAGCCAAAACAATGAGAACTCTTAAACAGGCCTATTGAGGGAAATTCTCTAGGCCAACTATTATACCTGGGAGTTCCCACACAGATAGGATAACAAGAAGAAATCTTCATATTTAACCCCATACTGTAGTTAGTATTCTTGTTCTGATCTAATATGTCAATAATTTTTTCCCTAATATTCCAAATCCTCTGACCTTACCATTCATCATTTCTTTCTTCAGCTGGCACTCCTGGAACAGGATCCAGACCCGGTGAGAATCAGTACCTCACAGTTGGGGTTTACCATTAATTATGACTCTCCACAAGCTCCCATTTTGGAGGTGTTCTTTCCTGCAGAGTTGTTTGTATTTACTCAAAATTTTCTTTGATTTAACATATTACTAATACACTTTCAATGCCTGCTCATGCCTCACAGCTGTAACTTCCTTACGAATGGCTATTGGTGAAATCCCTGTAAGAGGTTTCCTCTTTGATGGCATATACATCACTAAGATGATAGAAGACCGGAAAATATTCTATATGTGGGTAGAAGAGAAAGCAATGTGAACTCTGAAGCCTTTGCTACATATAGGTCCTCTTGCTCAAAAGTGCAATAATGATAGTCAATATTTTTTGACACACTCAAATAGTTTTCTGGTTTTCCTCTCACATTAGGCGCCACTGCAATGCCACAAGGCCAATCAACTGGGAGTGTGACAGGTGAGCCTGAGAGAAACCCAGCTTTCTTCTTCATTTTAAGAGAATGGAATGTCTGTAGAGAGTGACTTACATTGGAAATATTGCAATTTTTACTACTTTCTTAGTGATATGGATTATAGGAAAGGTATATTATTGTCAACTCATCAGAAAGTAGTGAAAGGGCCCTTTGATATAACAAAGATACACTTAGATTCCTTCTAGAGGCAGCTATTTAGGAGCTGTATAGGAGTCAGAAAGAGTCGCCATTGAAATCTCAGAACTTTTGTGTTTCAGGCACCACTGGCCCAGCTGTTGGCACAACTGTTGCACCTGGCAGTTCCAACACAGGTAAGTCAACAAGGTGGCAGGAATCTTTCAGATGAGATTTCTCTTCTATTGTTATCCTTTGTAGCAGAACTACCCTACCTTTCTGTGGTCCTCAAATAATTTTCAATGATCTCTAACCTCTTTTCCTCTATAGTGGAGGCCAGGACTTCTGTAGAAAAAGTGGAATAACAAGAGGTTTGTTTGTTTGTTTTTTCCCTTCTCTTAGAAGCCACAACTTCCACAGGAGGCAGTAAGGCTACACAGGGAAGATTGCCAGGAGGTAAGCTTCTTAGTCCAAAGCCCAGGTAATTGATGACGAACTTTTACAAAGATGAAGCATCATCTGCCTTTTTCTTCCTTTAGGCACCTCTGTCACACCTGGGAATCCAGGGACTGGAAGTGGAACAGGTGAGGGTGACATAAGACCTCCTTTCTCTTTCACTAGGATATTGGAAAAGGGAACTCCAGTAGCAACAATGATCCATAGGTGGTCAAGGAAGGACATTGTGGAAAGTTATTGACAGTTATGTTCCCTCTGAAGCAGAGATCCTAAGAAAAGGTCTTCTGGCCATTCAAGGACACACAGCTGCTTCAGTACTGAAGAGGGAGCTAATGCTGTGTTGATGGCTTTATCTTTCTCATTTTTAAGTCCTATACAGGAATTCACTAGGACAATCATTATATCTGGGGGTCCCCACACAGATAGGTTCACAAGAAGGAATCTCCATATTTAAGCCCAATATCATTTTGTCTCCACTTATACAATATCAACATAATTCTTCTTTCATATCTCAAATCCTCATTCCTCAACTTTCACCATTTTCTTCCTTCAGAGGCTACAACATCAACAGAAGGCAGTGGCACATCTGGAACTGGATTCAGAACTGGTGAGAAGAGTTTCTGCAGTTCGGGGTTTACCATTAATGATAGCTCTTCTTAGCCTAACTGCTGGGAGAGGTGCTTTCCTGCAGAATGGTTGTCATTTGCTTCCAGTTCTTAGATTTACAATACTTTGGAAAACTCTCAATATTAGCTTCCAGTCTTACAGGTGTAACTATGTAAGGAAAGGCTGGTGGTAAAATCAGTATGAGAGATTTAACTTGTGATGGCACAGACATCACTAGGATGTCAGTGTGAGATGAGAAATATTATATGTATGAGAAGAGGGAAAAGCAATGTGAACTCTTAAACAGGCATATCCTATGCACAGGGCTTCTCACTCAAAATGCCAATAATTAAAACAATATTTTTCTGGGACATATAAATATTTTCCTGTTTATCTTTGTATGGTAGGCACCACTGTGAGGATGAGAGATGAACATAGAAGAAAGGCCCCCGTTTAACCATATTTGACTGAATGGAATTTCTGGGACAGTTTCTCATGCTGAGAACATTACTGTTTTTATTGCTTTCTTACTGATGTTGGTCATATTAAAACCAGATTCTCACCTCATCAGGAAGTAGAGACAGGGCCCTTTGCTATAACAAAGATACACCTAGAGCCCTTCTGGAGGGAGGACGTCAGGAGATGGACAGGACACATGTTGATGATCTCAGACCTTTTATTTTTCGGGCACCACTGGAATAGCCCTTGGCACAGCTGTTGCTCCTGGCACTTCCAACATAAGGGAGGCAACAGGGTGACATAGGATTTTCTCATGCCCTCTCACAGGTTAGTTGTCTGATATTATTCATTGCAGGACTACCACCATGTATTTTCAGTGATCCTGATATATTCTTTCATTTCCTCGTTGCTACCCTATTTCCCCCAGTGGCCACAACATTCAAAGTGGTACAACTAGAATTGGAATAGACACAGGGGAGTGCTACTAAGCTAACACCTACATATCATAATAACCTTCTTAAAGCAGTCTTCTAAAAATTTTCTACACTATTCATATATGTTACTGTTGGGAAAGTTCAGATTTTGAAAAGATAAGCTACACATTACATTGCCTCCTTATTGCCTAAGCTTACAAGGGCCTTCAATAGACAACCATGAGTCTAACCAATGACCAATAAATAGGTAGCATATAGAGAGATATTTCTCTCTTCCCGCTATAAAAGGAGACATGAGAGTTGAGAACTCAGTAAAATAGTTAAAAAAAAATGTTGCATGGGGCACTTTGGGTGACTTCTTGGCAGTAAAAGTGACAGGGTTGTAGTTTGCTATTACATGAAGATGTAGATTTTTATTTAAATCATGGGATGAGAAAAAATTGAGCTAGGATCACCATCATTTTCTTCTTGTAAGTAATACTGATAAAGTCTCTGGAAAAATTCTGGAACCTGGAAGATATGTCACAGGCAAACCTGAAAATACAGTAAAAACTTGACATTGGCGGCTTGTATGGTCTATTCTGACAATAGCCAAGTGTGTTCTTTCCCACCACCTAGTCTTACTCCTTCCCTTCTTTTCTCTATCAGAGGCGACGACTTCCACGGAAGGAAGTGGGACTACCCAAGCAGGACTTGTAGGAGGTGAGTTTTATCTTAAACTGAATCTCTGGGGTTTTGAATCAAATCCCTGTTGTGTGGTAGAATAAACACTTGAGTGGGAAGGTGGGTAAAGGAAATGGGCCAGTATTTCCTCTAGGAACACAGCATGCCAGAGTCACAAACTTAGATTAGCCTGAAAACCATATTCTCATCTTCCCCCTCTAGATTGCAAGGTCCAGGCCTACAGAGCTAGTTCTTTGATTTGCAGGTAGAAGGCCACCCTGTGGCCCTGCTCCTGCCTATCAAGGCCTCAACCTTTATATATGGTTGGACATTTTGTTATAGCCTTTACTAACATCTGTCACTTTGACTTAATCATGTTTGTTGATCACTGTTGGTCTCCAGCTGCTAGAATATAAGCCACATTAGGGGAGGGTTCTTTGAATATTCTGCTCACTGGCATATCCAAATGCCTAAAATATTATTGCATAGAAAACATGCTTAATAAATATTTGTGGGATTATGAAAAGTGTATTTATTTTGAAGCTCACACTACTTGCTTTAATAGGTACCACAACACTTTCACCTGGAGCCAGCAGCAGTTCACAGAAAACCAAGCCAGGTAGGTTCACTAAGTAAATTCACCATAGGAGAGTATTAGAGTCACACATTTCTACTTTAAACCTTGAAGTGTCAAAAGCCTTCAGGTAATTGATGATGAACTTTTACAAAGATGAAGCATCATCTGCCTTTTTCTTCCTTTAGGCACCGCTGTCACACCTGGGAGTCCAGGGACTGGAAGTGAAACAGGTGAGTGTGACATAAGACCTCCTTTCTCTTTCCCTGGCATCAATAAAATAGGAAACTCCAGTAGCAACAATGATCCACAGGTGGGGCAGGGAAGGACATTGTGGAAAGTTATGGACAGTTAGCTATGTTCCCTCTGAAACAGAGATCCTAAGGATAGGTCTTCTGGTCATTCAAGGACACACAGCTGCTTCAGTACTGAAGAAGGAGCTAATGCTGTGTTGATAGCTTTATCTTTCTCATTTTAAAGTCCTACACAGGAATTCACTAGGACGATCATTATATCTGGGGGTTCCCACACAGATAGGTTCACAAGAAGAAATCTCCACATTTAAACCCAATATCAATATTTCTCCACTGATAAAATATCAACATAATTCTTTTCTCATATCACAAATCCTCATTTCTCACCCTTCATCATTTTCTTCCTTCAGAGGCTACAACATCAACAGAAGGCAGTGGCACATCTGGAACTGGATTCAGAACTGGTGAGGAAGAGCTTCCGCAGTTGGGGTTGACCATTAATGATGGCTCTTCTTAGCCTGGCCGCTGGGAGGGGTGCTTTCCTGCAGAGTGGTTCTTATTTTCTTCCAGTTCTTTGATTTACCATATTTTGGAAAACTCTCAATATTGGCTTGCTGTCTTACAGTTGTAACTTTGTAAGGAAAGGCTGGTGGTGAAATCAGTATGAGAGATTAAACTTGTGATGGCACAGACATCACTAGGATGTCAGTGTGAGATGAGAAATATTATATGTATGAGGAGAGGGAAATGCAATGTGAACTCTTAAATAGGCATATCCTATTCACGGGGGTTCTGGCTCGAAATGCCAATAATTATATCAATAGTTTTCTGGGACATTGAAATATTTTCCTGTTTATCCTTGTATGGTAGGCACCACTGCAAGGATGAGACATGAATGTAGGAGAAAGGCCCCTCTTTAACCATATTTGACTGAATGGATTTCTGGATCAGTTTCTCATGCTGAGAACATTACTGTTTTTATTGCTTTCTTACTGATGTTGGTCATATTAAAACCAGATTCTCACCTCATCAGGAAGTAGAGACAGGGCCCTTTGCTATAACAAAGATACACCTAGAGCCCTTCTGGAGGGAGGACGTCAGGAGATGGACAGGACACATGTTGATGATCTCAGACCTTTTATGTTTCGGGCACCACTGGAATAGCCCTTGGCACA